CAGTGCCTGCACCTACTCTTCCCCTCATGGAAGTTTTAACTGCAATGGGGTCTCCCCTCAGTCTCCTTTTCTCCAGGCTGAACAGACCAAGTGACCTCAGCCATTCCTCATACACCTTTTCCTCAAGGCCCTTCACCATCTTTTTTGTACTGTGGTGTCCAAAACTGCACACAGGATTTGAAGTGAGGTCACCCCAGTGCAGAGCAGAGCAGGACAATCCCTTCCCTTGCCTGGCTGGGGATGCTGTGTCTGATGCCTGCAGCAGGACAATCCCTTCCCTTGCCTGGCTGGGGATGCTGTGCCTGATGCTTGCCAGAGCATGGTTGGCCCTCCTGGCTGCCAACCGTGCTCTCTCCATCAATCAGAGACCCCAGTCCCTTTCCAAACAGCTGCTCTGAAGTCTCTCATCCCCCAGTCCTCTTGTATATTCAGGGTTGCCTTGTCCCAGGTGCAAAATCTAGCACTTGCCTTCATTAAACTTCATACAGTGGGTGATTGTTTAACCCTCTGATTTGTCGAGATCTCTCTTTAGGGCCTCTTTGCCCTCAAGGTAGTTGACAGTTTCCCCCAATTTAGTATCACCAGCAAATTTACTTAGTATTCCTTTAAGTTCTGTGTCTAAGTCATTTCTGAAGAGCACTGGCCCTACAGTGGAGCTGTGTGGAACCCCACTGGTGACTGTTTGCCAGCCTGATGTAACCCTGTTTACTGGAATTCTTTGTGCCTGATCTGTGAACTAGTTGAGCATCCATCACATGATATGCTGATCTAGATGAATGCTGGACATGTTGTCCAGAAGGACACCATGAAAGTATTGAAAGCTCAACTGAAGCCCAAAGAGATTACATGAACAGGGTTCCTTTGGTCAGCTAGGTGGGTTACCTTGTCATAATTGGAAATTAAGCTAGTCAAACAGGGCTTTCCCTGATGAAGCCATTCTGGCCAATGACTGCCTTATCCTTCAGGTGTTTTTCAGTAACTCCAAGAGTAATCTCCTCCATAATTCTACCAGGCACTGAAATGAGACTGACAGACCTGTAGTTTCCTTTGAGCTGTTCTTGAAAACTGGGACAACATTAGCCAGCATTGAGTCAAGTGGGACCTCTCCAGATTCCCAAAACAGTTCAAAAAGTCACTGAGAGAAGTCTTGTAATGACATCAGCCAGCTCTTTGAGGATTCTTGGATGAATCCCATCAGGCCCTATAGACTTACAGGGATCCAGCTAGAGCAATGATTCCCTCACAAGTTTAGAGTTGACTCTGAGTTCATAATTCTCAGGATCCTCATTCTTCAGCTCAGGGCACTGGGATCCCACAGTCCATGACTGGTGCTGAAGAAAGCATTGACCACCTCTACCTTGTCTCTGTCCCTGTTTGTATGGTGAACACCCTCATAATTTAACAAGTCACTACCTTTTGCAACTAGCATATTTTTAAAAGTTATTTTTATTGTGCTACATACACAGTACTGGCTGGCTTCAGCTCTAATTGAGCTTTTCCCTCACAACTTTGTCCCCATGGAGGTGAGCAGCATCTCTGTAGTCCTCCCATGTCACCTGGCTTCTGCTGGTCAAACATTTACTTGTTTTTTGCCTTACCTTTAGAAGATCCCTGCCTAGCCAAGCTGGCCTTCTGCCTCGTCTGCTTTTCTAACATTTTGGAATTGCCTGCTCCTGTGCCCACAGGAGGTGGTGCTTAAAAAGTCACCAGCATTGATGGACCCCAGCACCATCAAAAACATTTTCCCAGGCAACCTTACTCATTAGTTCCCTAAGCAGTCTGAAGTTTTAAATCCAATTGCTTTGTGGTTGCTGTGGCCAAGACAACCACTGATTTCCACTTCAGTCATAAGAGTCTCTCTGTTAATGAGCAGCAGACCAAGGAGGGCATCTTACTGAGTTGGCTCCCTTAGTATCTGAACCATGTAGTGATTATCCATCTGTTTAGGAACCTTCTGGACCTGCTTGTATTAGCTGTATGGCATTCTCAGTTAGCATTTGCCAAGGTGAAGTGCCTCATAAGGATAAGAGTGGTTAACTTAAAGATGTTCCTTAGTTCCTCATCAGCATCACCATTCTGGATAGGAGGTCTGTAGTAAACTCCCATGATGACATCTGCATTACTTGTTTGTCCCTTAATCCTTATCCAGAGGCTTTTGACCATGCCATTGCCAACTGTAAGCACCATTCATTCCAGACCCTTTATGTAATAGAGTGCCTCCCTGCCTCTCCTGCCCTCCCTATCCCCCCTGAAAAGCCTGTAACCATCCTTCATGGCACACCAGTCCCAGGACTCATTGCACCAGTTTTTGCTTATGCCAATAATGTCATATCTCTGGGGCTGGGCCAAAGCTTTGAGTTCCTCTTGCTTTGTCCTGCATCTCCTTGGATAGATTTCTCTTTTAAGTAGAACAAATATGACACATGCACAGGAAAGGAAATTACCAAAGAAAGCTGATGAAGGGAAGGTTTGACTCCAAGAGGAGTAACAAAGACTATTGGTTTGTACACAGCCACAGAGAAATTTACTGGTGCTGCCTTTGACCAGTTTCCATTTGACCATTTCCAAAAATAACTGCCTCCACCTGCAATGTTTATTACTTCACCTTTATTCTGCCCCTACCACAACACAAAACTGAAAAAGATTATGCCTACCAAGTTCTACTTTTGAAGAGCAGATCTGTAGTTGTGCCAAGATTTAGCAATGACACAGTCTTTGAAGATAAATGGCTTGACTAGCATTTCAGCTGCCAAGCAAAACTTTGAATGCAACAATTTATTTCTTGCACCCAGTCTGTAAAGCGCACTGTCAGGAAGCAGCATAATCATTTTAAACCAGTAGATCTTGGAGATCATGGCAAAATGGTGAGACTACAGGCCAAAGTTATGGAATAGTGTCTGGAGCTCAAACTATGTCTTGGAAAGATAAACGTGCTGAAGAGGACTTGTGAGGATGGAGCAAAAGGCAAAGGAAAAGAAGCAAAAAGTGAAAGGGGCCAAAAAAGAACTAAGGCTATAGCACAAAGCAGAAGAGAACTAACACTGAGGGGGAAATGGAGGCCAGGGGAAGAACTGCCCAGAAATGATATTAGAATTATGGGAGAGAGAGTGATTTACTCAGCAAGACACACCAGATATTAACCTACACAGTAACATGAAAAAGGAGAAGCCAGGGAAAAATTGGCATCAAAGATACATAACAATAGATTATGGCTTTTCTGTATCACACAGTACATATTTTACCATGTTTCAGTGTTATAATTCAGATGACAAATGCTCACTGTGTGTATATATATATATATAAACACGCACACACATATATATATATACACACACAAATTATACACACATACATTCAGTACAGTTAACACAATCCAGCTCCCATCTGGACTTTATTTCCTGAGGGAATGCAGAAAAACAGCCAACTACCTCATCCTCAGCTCAGGCCCCGAGGTTGCTGCCTTGTTGGGGTGGGGGAGGGAGGAATATAGATAGACAAACCATCATGTGCATACCCAGACTGGCTGCTGCACTTGGGGAAGTGAGGAGCACAGGGAAGGGGGAAGAATCTTTGCAGAGTTGTTTCTCTGCCCAAAGATCAAAGGGAATGAGGAAGAGCGCAGCTAATGCTTCAAGTGAGAACATGTATCCATAAGCACAGAGTAACTGGGAAAGAGGGACACAGCAGAGGCTCAAGCTGCTGCTATTACCCTTACAGCACACCGAGGTGAGCTCAAAAATTAATCCAGCTCTTGTCAGAGCTGTATAGCTGGACTAGAGCCTTTTCTTGGAAAATCAAGGGTAATGGCAGGCTTCAGTGGGCTGTGCTTACTGGTCAAGCTGTCCCTAAATTAATAATGCAATTTTCAATGCCCAGCATCAATAGTGAAACTCAGCCAGTGCAAAGGACACAGTAAGACAGAAAGTCACAACTATTATGACTGCAAGAGCAAATTGTACTATTTATTAATTTTTCTCCTAAAAATGTTTCATGGCCAGACTCCATAATGAGCTGTATGAAACAAATCAAGATAAAGAAATGCTTTTTAAAACATATATGACTTATTACTTTGATATCTGTCCTCTTTCTTCTTACACTTCATATCTTGGACTGAAATAACCGAATTTCCCACTGCAACAGTATGTAGCTGAGCAAGTCACCTAGATACTGTAGATATGTTTAGACAAACTTCTGGACAAAGTTATAAATAAGCCTTGGATACAGCTATTCTCATTTTTGTTCTTCAGCATGTCTCTTTGTTCTCTAAGGATGGAATGACAGTCTAGTGCCAGTGGAAAGAAAAACTGATCTGCGATGGGAGATGACATGCTCCAAAATACTATTTTGGCCTTTACAGAAGACAAAAGGGGAAAATAAGTGTGCAGAGTTGTTAGGGATAGGGATTCTGTTTGTTTTTATGCACTGCTATTTTAAATCCCTCCCTCAACACTTTCCCAAACTTCCTCAGAACAAAATCTCTAGCCAAAGACAATGAACTGTTATGGCCACTTTGTTATCAGATGTGCACTTTAAAACTTGTATTTTCAGTATCACAAAGCTATAGGGATTTCTAAAAGACACTCTCTTTACTTGGTATTTGTCTACCTGCAGATGTAATAGGAACACAAACTGGAAATATCACTGAATATGTGACTTTAAAAGAACTGGGCCGTGAGAAGGGTTTTCTTGGATCTCCTTCCACTGCCCTGGGTCTGCAGAGCCTTTTGCTCATGTTTTCACATTTTCTTAAATTCCAGTTTAAAGCTTCAGCTTCTCGTCTTTTATGTTCCTACTGTAGGGCTTTTTCAGAATCTCACTTCTGTGAGGGTTAAAAACGATCTCACATCCCTAGCACAGAAGCACTTGCAATTTATTCACACATCTCTCCCTCTCAGATAACTGCTAACAGCAAAGGACTCCAGAAAAGTAAAAATGAAGCAAGTGCAATAATCTTCATTACAATCTGCAGTACATCAAGGAGCTCATCAGCTGATACTTACGGAGGCGTCACTCCTTTTGGGAGGCCTAACGCGTTGACAGAAATGGGTGGTGGCTGGGATGGCAGCATGGAGCTGAGAAAAGCTGCTGGAGACTGGCTGGAATTAGGAAATCTTGGAGTTGGAGACAGGCTGTGGGAAGGTGAAGAAAGTGAAGGAAGAGGAGGGGGTGGAGGAGGTGGAAGTGGAAAGGAATCACACACTGGATATGTCGCTGTTGGACTAAAGACAGGTGGAGGTGGGGGTGGAGGGGATGGAGAAGAAGGAGACCAGGCATATTCCCCTTCTGGAGCAAACTGCTGAGAAAAGGGAGGAACTGGCACTCTCCCAAACTGTTTTTGAGAAGCAGTTGGAGACATAGGAGAAGGAAGGCTAGATGTAGATGACCCAGAAGATGGAGTCACATAACCTGAAGCAGGGCTGATGTTCTGGGCAGCAATGAACTGCTTAGGCCGAGCATAGTTGAAGGAGCCGGAAGACTGCATGGTTGGGGAAGTATGAGAGTTAAGAATACTCATTGGCACAGGAGAGGTGGCAGACTGGCTGGATTCAAGCTCCTGGAAGGAGGGGGGAGGAGGAAAGGAAGGAGAAGAGGGAGAGTGCTGATGATGATCAGGTTGCTGTTGGTGACGATACCACTGTCCACTTTCTTGCTCCAGACGAATTTGGTTCTGCAGCTGCTGTATTTTTTGGGGGTCCCTGCGGGAAGGAAAAATAGACAAAAAGATGATCAGACATGCAGTTCTGGCTGGGGAGGAGGTAAAAGTTCCACTGGTCTATGGTCCAGGAAAATGGAAAGAGGGAAAGTTCAAAGCATTTACATATGTTGAACAGCCCCACTTCTTCAGAGTTAACACACTACAAAAGTCCATTTTTTTGTCCTCAAGATGAAGGAAAAAGGGTACGCACAATAGAATTTAACAGTACCATCAATTCTTCAAAAAGGTAAATTATATGTCAGTTTGAAGCACTTAGGGTATTTTAAAGGCACAATCCAGATAATGGAATTCAAGGTAAAAGTACTGAAATTCTTAACAAGCTTTCTTTTTGTTTCTTGTGTTGTTTTTTTTTCAATGGCCTTGTTTGAAGAAGGCTGAAATATTTACCCAGAAGGTAAAAGTACTGAAATTCTTAACAAGCTTTCTTTTTGTTTCTTGTGATTTTTTTTTCAATGGCCTTGTTTGAATAAGGCTGAAATATTTACCCATTAACAACTTCAGCTGTAGCTGAATTTCTGCTGTAGCCTCTGTAGGCCAATCAGACAGACCTGATCACAGCCATACTTTAAATGAGGTACTTGGAGCCAAGGGACCAACTTCTGTATTAGAACCATGCATGTATGCAGATGAGCAAAGACTTCTGAGAAACATCTGTAACCTAGGGAATCTGTGACCTGAGCTTCCCCTAGGTCTTGAGTCCCCACTTTTTTTCTCCCCAGTTTTATTTACAACTGTAGTTCCTGAGACGAATCTTAGTAGATATTTAATACAGTTCTGAGGCATTGCAGTACTATCAGCTCAAATGGAAATAATAATTTAATTTAGAAATTCAGAAATTCACTGGAAGAAGAATAGAGGCAAAAAAAATTAATATGCAGGAGACTCAGAACTCTTAATTAAGGGGGAAAAAAAGGAAAATGTAAAATGTTCAGCAGTGAAGCAAATCAGAACTGGGTTTTTTTGTCTCAATACAGCTGTTTGAAAGACATTAAGCTCAAAATTAACTGTGCGGTCTATCATGTGACAATATATCAGACTGACTTGCTTAAAATTGTCCTTTTTCAGCTGGAAAATGTAACTTTATCTGAACTGAACTATTGAACTCCAAATATCTATGAAGTTTCAGCATATGCACATATACTTTTTCTGTACATTTAATATATAAATACTTTTTTACAAGTGTGTCATTGTTTATACATAATTTAGGTCATCTAAGCAGACATTTTAGAAGCAGTCTGCCTAATGCATGGCATATGAATGTGTGATTCTGGCACAACAATATACTTCTGTTGATAGCAACAAAATTAGAAATGGTAATAACATCATATTTTCCACTTGAAGATTAATTTTGATATTCCAACCATCTACATTTCCCAGAAAATGTTTTCTGACAATAATTCTGCTTATGATCTCTGGCCAAAGATTGCTTAGATAAGAAAAAGGGGAGCAAGCTGTTTTAGGGCAGAAAACTGAAAAATCAGTAACTTAAGAGTTGACTTTCTTTGGTGCTGTTGTTGTAAAGATGGTTCAATTCTAGCAATGTCTCACTAACAATACAAATTTCAGCACTTAAAAGGAGATTAACTTTTTTACTTAAATTAGCAACAAGAACATCCCAAAGTTACAGTTCACTTTGTAAATTTTATGATTCATTTCTCAATGTTGACAATAGAGACTCTAAATCCCTATCAGTTCAACTTTTCAATCCATAGGATGCAGGCTGAAACTGAATTAATTTTATAAAAATAGAAGAATAACAGTCACCTTTATTTAAATCAGTTAAAACAACACAATTTTAGTTCTTATCAGCATTCAACTTGCTTAGTTGATGACAGAAACAGCTCAGGTCACTTCTGACTGGACAGATAAAACTCTGTAAGATTACTACTTACACCTCATTCGGCACCTTTGGCCTGAATATTTGCAGACCCACTGTCCAATACTTCTAAAATTATTAACAAATAATAGTTATTTTATTTTTCATCACAGTCACCCTCAATTTTTTTTCATTTATTACAGACAGACTAAGGTAAAAGAACAAAAAAGGGGAAAATTTAGGATTGTAAATAAGGTGTTGAATATAGAAGAAACTTAGCTGTCTCCAACACTACTATGTTTATCCAACATGTGCTGAAAGCAAGTAGGAGTGTCATGTCTTGAGACCTTTTTATTTGCATTTGCCAAATCACATGGCGCTGCGCCCGGCCAGCAGCATCCCACAAATGCCCATCTATGGCCCTGTCAATGCAAGTGCAGCACTGCAGCACTGCCCTGCACTGCTGCTGACCCTGCCAGGCAGAAGCAGAGACCAGATTCAGGGTACCTCTACAAAAGGGTGCCGGGCAAAAATGAGGTTGCTCGGGTCTTACACTAAGCATGACGAGGTTGCAGGAACATGCGTGCCTGTAAATCAGGGTTTATTAGCCCAGGACAGTACTGACTCTGGTTGAACAGCTTTTGGTCAGCTTAGACTCCACCTAAATTAAGTGTTGGTTTGCTTGAAAAATAGCATGCAAACACAACCATTATCGTATCAGTCCATGGGGCAAAAAACCACAAAGACCATCTTGGAGTAAATTTTCATGCCAGTTGTAGAAGTGCACAATCCTTGTCTGCAAAGGAAAGTTCTCTACTTCAGAGCTATTCTTTTAACATCAGACACTGCATTATTTTCTCCAGGAGAAGTATCCTAGAGATGTGTCTTTATGAAGAAGGAGAGGAAAGAATAACAATTCACCAGTGTTTCTTTGGAATGACACCATCAGTGGTGGAAGTTCTACATAGGTAGATCCCTGAAAGATAACTCTGCTGTGACAAAGACAGGGAGAGCCCAGCTGCCAAAATTATGAAAATTATTAATTTCTCATTAGTAGGGAAACAAAGAAGGGAATTAAAAGAGTTTAATTTTTGGATGAGATTACAAGAAACACTAATTTAATTGTAATTACATCCTCTTTCCAATTAGTTGAAATATGTTTTGCAATTTTATAGGGCACACGTAAAGTCAGGGAACGCATCAAGCTTGTCTAAACAATAGAGCATAAACTTATTTTCTCATGTGGAATTTTTTGTTTTGCCAAATAATTAATTGTTAATTAATTATAACAATATAAGAATGAACATTTAAAAGTAATTTTTTAGCAGATTCAGTCAGTGCATGATAAAGGTAAGTAATTAAAAAAATCATAGCTAGGGTGAAATGAATATTGAGAAATTTCATCAACTCACTGAAAAGCAGGCCTAGTACTACATAAATATATTCAAAAGTTCTGCTTTAGAACTTGTGATGTTTTTCCAATACCAGGTATTCTTAACCAAGATATTAACATACATTTTCAGATTATTAAATAGGTATGCTAAAACAGTTCCAAAACACAAGCCGTAAGGCAATAAGATGTTAATGAAAGCAGACATCAGTTACAACAAATGAGAGGTTTCTGAGCCATGCTGCCTGTAAGAGCAGCTTCATGCACAGGTTTGGTACCGGGCACTTAGAACATGCTCAGTAAGGTGATGACTTTCAGAGCTATGGGATAGCAAGAAACATTTGAAAACAGATGTTAAAAGCAAAAACTAGGGACATGAGACATTAGGTTTCTTGGTGGACAACAGTGGTTGCCAATACACACACCACAGTTTAATAGCTTCTCGAGACATCATATTGTGAGGTATGCACTTGGTTTAAATTACAATAGACTGGTTTATACTTTTTTCCCATTTTCATAATGCTTTTTCTTCCTGATAACCTCTGTATCACATTGCTTTGAAAACAGAGCAGTCTGTGACTGAGAATTAAACTGGAACAACCCCCATCAGAAACTGTAACTCCAAGTGCCTGAACACAGTGGAGTAGAGGAGGGGACATAGGTACTGGTTGCACATCTCTCCAAGTCTCAACAAGACCTGGCTGCTGGATTGCAGAAAGCATTACAGCAGATGGCATTTCCAGGAATGCAATAAATCCTTCATACTTCTCTCCTATGCTCATTCGCATATTCCCAGTAATAGGGTATGTACCAACTTTACTTTTATCTTACTTACAAAGCTTATTTAGAGAAAATGTCCCTCTTCTGGGAAGCGTCTTACTGTTTGCAGTTTAATCATCAACTTTGAGTACCTTTAAACACAAAAGTTCATATGGAAGCCCTTCTATCCAAAATACCTTTCTTGGAAGGAGAAATTCCCAAAATGTAGAGAAATGCTCTTCCAGCCCTGAAGTCTTTGTACATGAGATGAACCCTACCAAGTTATGCCTACCATGAAGTATGCAAAGGCACTGAAATTTTAGTCAGTGTTTTACAACACAGTACACAAAGTAAATGGAAATAAATGACCACAGGTAAAGAACCAAGATTAAGTGATGTTTTCTATAACTTTTTAAAATCCCAAATTTTGTCCCTCCTGATCTTAATGAAAGAAAAGGAGCAAATGGAAAGCAGACAAAGAAAGGCAATTTTTGTTTGGAAGAAAGAATCCTATTTATCTCAGGTATGAAAGAATAACAAGCTCCCTCTGTCTCAAGTCGTTCCTGAGCAAAAGCAGACTGGCCCCTTCACAATCCTATCAGTGACCCACTCTTTGAGAAACAGATGGTGCAGTTCTACAGAAATATACCACTAGAAAACATACCACTGAAACAAAGGTACAGGAATATTTCAAATGAAACATGATCAGAATTAAGCACAACTTTAAAAGGTTGAGCTATTTTTCTAAGTTAAGATTCAAAAACAATGGCAGAAAATGTCTGCATATTGGAGGTAAGAACTACTCACCTCCATGTACTCTACTTTCCAAAGAAGATCTAGTTTCTAATTCAATACTATTGCTTCAGATTTATGTTGGAGCTCTAGCAAAAGGGAGACAGTCACTATCACACTATCAAATGGCAGGGGCTCTTCTTGCTGAGTTCCATGTCAGCAGGTCTCTATATATAGATAAATTTTTATATGTGTACATTTAGATATAGTTATCTCTAAATGT